TAGTGTTTCTCCTCACATAAAGCTCACCCCAATCTTGCAACCGTTCTTTTTTTAGTTCTGTTATCCATGCTTCCTGAAAAAGGACCACTAGAAAAATACATGCCATGCCCTTATGATTTGTCCAATTCCATAATGGTGGTTTTAATTTTGTTAGTTTATTTCTTCCCTAATAAATCCTAAGCTTTTATTTGCCTGTCAATAAGATCTGAGCTGGCATTTTCAGCAAGTCTTTCCCCATGACACAAACCATTTCCTGACCAGTATTGCAGGCCATCACCAAGGGTACATCATTAGCTGCTTTTCATGTGTGCAATACTTGGCATTTTTCAACACTGATTTCCAAATTGCCTATTTGGAAAAAAAAATTAAATTAAAGCAGTGATCCTGTCTCATATCTAAAAGCCTGCAAGTTCTTCAGGTAATGAGGAGTAAAGGAAAAATGTCTCTAGCTTGCCCTGTGAACGTTTTACTTTAACACATTCTTGAAGGGATACCACATTTTAAAAAAGAGAGTAACTATAGCTTGTGGCAACATTAAAGAAGCCACAGCATCAACGCTACCCACTCTCTCATGGAAGATTAAAAGGACATGAATCACCCTGAAGGTTGGATAATTACATATTTACATAAGCTGTTTCAGGAGGCCTGCTCTGCATGGTTTTGCAGTTTTAGTTTCCCCATTTTTTTCTGGCAAGAGAAACCTGCCCAAATTCAGTTCAGCTGCAGACTATAAACAGAATTAGGCTAATCACAATCTCCACAGAGCACAATCAAATAAAACTTCTTAATATGTACATGAAATGTTTGCTGAGGACTGCAAAGTGCTAGAGCTTTAATATACTGGTATATTCAAGTATCTGCTTCCCTAGAGTATGATGATATTCTGAAAGTTACATTTGGCTCAGAGTTGCCAAATGCAACCTGTGAAACCTGAAAAACTTCAGGGATCAAGTTATTACCAAATAATGCTATTTGATCACTTCCTTTCCATCACTTTGCTAATGCATGCACATAGCAGGCTCTAATATCTATCCCATCCTTTGTGTGCCATCTTTTTGTTCCCCTGAAGGAGGACTGCTAATCAAAAGCTGAAGCACGAAGAAAGGTAGAGAAGAAGTTGTAACTAACTCTGCGTTTAAGGAAGACGAAAACCAGAAGAAATTAGTACCAGCTATTAAAGCACCACAGGTGATTAAAGCACAGAAGCAGGAAATTACCTACAACTAATTATAAATTGTTCATTATTGTGATTAATACAGTTTGCACTGTCTTCCCTTCAATGTATTGATGTATATTTCAGCTTCCAAAATTTGTCTGAGACACAGCACATACACTCCTATGTGACTGAAGTCTAACCTAATCACCCCCACAACTCCTCAGAAAGACACGACCTTCCCTTCAAGCCCAACTCTCCCTGACTGAACGGACAGACCATGACACAGCAATGCACCACATGCTCCTGTAATGTGATCCTCCCAGATATGCAATACTGAACAATATGAAAGTTGTTAGGTTATGAGGTTACCATAGCACAGTAGCATAAAGTGTTGTCAATTTGTGCTTTGCTTTGTATTGGTTCCATAATCTTCTGCTTTTGCTGCTCCTTTTCCACCTCACCTCCTTGCACAGATTTGGGACACTGATACACATGCAGCCCTTTGCTCCATGTGCAAAGCTGGAGCTGAGCCACAGCTGTCCTTCTCTTCTCCTGGCACTTCTCCCTGCCTGGATAAATGTTTTCTGGGAGGGAGTTATGCCATGACAGAAGCTCTACACCTAAGGGGAATGCAAGAGACAAAACAACCTCAGACTATCTAGCACTAGCTTGTGGTGCAGCATTTATCAAGGGAATCACAATCTTCCAGACACAGGTTCTGGTCTCCTCAGCATGTTCAGATCAGCTGGGAAGTTGTTCAAGAGAGAAATCCTCACACACAACCCCCTCAAATTACTGTTTTACTAAATTTAAATTTAGTGCAGCAAGATTCAAATAGCATCTTTTATGAAGGCAAAGTTCCAGAGTTCAGTGAAAAAAGCTCAAGAGTTCCAACTAAAAGGTTTCTCTTACGTGAATCTGACAGTAGAAAAACAACTTGGTTATTTTACACCATCTCTGAAGTTTGGGGGATTTTTCTGTTTCAAAACATGTCATTTCAATAACTAGAGACAAAACTCGAGCAAAATTACTTGTAAGGACTATAACACAATTTATTCCCTCAATTGTATAAGAAATTATTTTAATGGTATACAGCTGCTGAAATAGATTTGCAAGTACATTTACAATATTCACCATTAAAATAATTTCTTATACAAGTACATTTACAATATTCACATATCCAATAGAGAGTGATACTGATGGGGAAGGAATAGCTAATGTCAACAGGGATGTCAACATGATCTTATACTTGTAGAAGAGATTAACAGAACTTTTAATTTTTTAGAAGTTTATGTTCTACAAGGACTGGAACTGTATCCACTGTTTCTGCCTTCCTCTGTACCTCCTGGACTTTATGTATGTATGATGACAAATAACCTGTTCCCTTACTCACTCCTACCCTCCCAATCCACATCTCTGATGTGAAAATGCTTTAGTTGCAGATTTATTTCTACCCCAAGCAGAGACAGATGCACTAAAAAAATCCCCAAAACAATAATGAAAAACCTCAAAACATTAAAGTAGAAATATATAGTCAAGGACAACCTTCAATGCTGTAACCATGGACTTCTTTCTTTCTCCTGCTTCACATAAATGAAATTCCAGTATCTATGAGAGAACCTCTTCAATAAGTTCCCAGTAAAGATCAGCAGTCACACACTGGCCACCACCATTCCCCATTTTGTAACTTAATTAAAAAGAATCCAAAGCCAGTTGTCATAGAAATGGTGTTGATTTTTTTTAAGCCAGCCTTTAACAAGCTGTTGATTATGGAAAGCAGGAAATGTGATCTGAGGTGGCTGAAGGCTGGTAGCAAGGCATGGAAGAAAAGAATGCATAGACCTTTTGCTGCTTCAGCCTCTGGAGTCTCTGACCACAGCACTGATTTGATTTCATGGCTGCCCTGTACAGATAGCTGACATTACTAAATGCTACTCCAGTATCAACTTGTTAAATTTGAACCCAGACTCAGCATATCAATATACTAGGCCAGACTAACTGGAGTCAAGAGAAATATTTTTGGAGTTGTTTATTTTTAAGTGAGTCACAATACACCATGATAATTAACTGGACTATGTAATTAAATGATTGCCATAGAATCTGTTGTATTGGTCACAAAGACTAATAACAAATACAATGGTATTTATCTATTTTATTCCAGTCAGTTACTGAACTACTGTGAAGTCAGCTATGGTTTTTGCTTGGTTTGGTGGAGAAAGCTTTTACATTTTTTGATAACATGTTTTATAGAATATTTACCTATTTACTGGTTTTACATAAAAACTGAAAATAGCCATTTGAGAACTGAAAATTTTCTGTACCTGATGTTTGTGTCAATCCATTGTAAACACTGCTCCTGGGAACTGAAACAAACTGCCTGCCCAGTGTCCTAGGAGGTTTGCTGGAAATGTTAGCTAACAATCCAATCCTGAACTTGGATTAAAAGACAGATTATCTTTCATATCAGCTGCCATTAAACACAGAGACCAGCAGTGCAAGTTGATGAGAAATATAATTGAAGTGCATGACTCAACTCTTTTCACAATATACTTTCAAAATAACTCCCACAATTTAATTAGTCTGGATCTAATGTGTTTCTGCTTATTGTGGATTTTATCCCTCACTTTACAGTGAGATTTTGGGAAAAAGAATCCCCAAACAGTATATATAATGATTATCTATTCCACTCTGAGTTTTATAAAGAATTTTAAGCATAAATCACAGTTTCCCAAGAAGGGAAGTCAAAGTGTAAAATCATCAAGCACTGCTCTAAGGGCAAAAAAAGACTGAAAATTCCAGGCTAACACCTCCAAGGTGAATTACTAGTTTAGACAGGGATTGTCATAACTGTAAGGTCTTTGGCAAAAAGCCCTCTGCTTAAACAAACACATTAGTTACATGGTAGTGGTGTCAAATCAATGAGAATGAGTTCTTAAAACAATTTCAGTAACCATCAATTGTTGCATTTTTATCAGCATTCATAACTAAAAATATTCAGATAATTTAAGTCCTCACAACGTTATTTAAACTACCTTAAAGGCTTAAAATCTACCTTCCATGTGGCCTATGCTTTACTAACTGCCTCAAGAGCTAATAAGAGTAGACACCTCTACCAGCAGTTTCACTGGACATGAATTTCATTACAAAAAAAAATATATTTAATATAAGCCTTCTAGACCCAAGTACTGTAATTTGAACAGCAATGTTGTTGGAAGAGGTATTAAGTTACTCAGTACTGCTCAGGCTGAAATAGTAGTTGGAAGGAGGAAAAAAAGAGTGAGAGGAAACTGAAAATTCCTGTGGTTCAGGGTGTATACAGAAACAAATGGTATTTACAGTTTCTCTTTTCAAATACGACTTATCTTTAATTCTACATACAACAAACTGTTCTGTAAAACAAAGCCTATCTGAAATAAAACTAAAAGATCACTCATTTTTACCCATTTTATATGCAAACTTCAGTAGCTGCTATTAATTTACTGAAAATTTAGGTGTTTATAACTACAAAATTTCATCTGAAGTTCAAATGACTCCCATGTCTCAATAAGTAGACAAAAAAATCCCTCTGAGCTCATGTAAACAGCAAACTATTGTTTTAAAATCTATTAAAGACACTTATTTCACAGCAACACCTATTTACCTATGCCCCATATTCTAAGAAACTAATCTAAAACCCAAATGTTACAGATAATTGAAAAATTAACTTCCTAATGGTGACAATTTGACACCATTAGGAAACTCTGAAATCACGGCACTTAAGCCTTGGTTGCACACTTTTACTACTTTCCAGCTAAATTTCAACTCTAAGATAGCATCACATTTTTCTATAAACCACATCACTCACCTTCTGGGGCCTCCACAAAGTGCTAGACATTTCCCTTTTAGAGGTTCCATATCTTTTCCTAACACCAGTTGGTTTTCCTTCATTCCCAGCTTTGAACTGTATGTGCAACTGAGACGTCCTTGCACTATGACACTTGTATTTAAGGCTGGATAAGCAGCAAGAAACTTTTTGACGTGATCCTTCCAATGAAACACTTCTTTGCAAAATATGGGGAGTTTTGCTCATCTGTGCATTGGGTCCTCCTAGTTCATTTATATTAATCTGATATTCTGAATCTGTTTTTGAGGGCAGACAAGCAGATGTGCTACGCTCTAGTCTTAAATGAGGGTATTTTGTACCAGAGTTCAGATTTAACTCTGGACTGCAAGAGCCATTAACCATTTCACTGCTTGATGCAAATGCTCTTTGTTTAAGATGAACTGAAACACATGGGAAGCCATCGGGTACTTCTTCACAAGTTGCCTGCTGAGGACCACTCAAAATTTGACTTTTGTCCTGTAATGATGCATTCAAATAAAGTGGGCGGATGTCTCTGACCTCGCCAGAAGAGCAAACTGTTTTAGATAGCCTAAGTCCATTGACTGCTGTTGAAAGGAATCCCTTGGAAATGGTCTGATCTTCTTTTTGTGCCAGCTCACTAGGAGAAATTATTAATTTATGAGATGTTTGATAGGTGCCTCTGTGTGGTAGCTGACCTGAGCTTACTGGAGAAGCTGGAGGAGTACTGGAAGGACTCCTAGGAAAAATAACCAGTGATGAACAACGTCGCAATGGAATTTTAGTTTTCTTCCTCACTGACAAAGCATCTTGGTCAAAAGTAGTATTACTTCTGTACAGTGTTTCCTGAGATGAGTTGCTCCTGGAGGGATTACATTTGTTTCCAGTGCTTCTATATGAAGAGTCACCATGTGCAACACTACCACAGAAAGTACTGTCACTTGTCCAAAGAGTGCCACTGCCACTGTCACTGATGACACTGTTAGCATATGAACCTCCATCACTTGTGGTACTTGCACATGATCCGTAGTCACTGCCAGCACTGCTGAACGAGCCACTGTCACTTGCTGCAATGCTGCTGAGGCTGCCTCTGCCCAGAGCAGCACTGCTCAGAAGGCTGTCATTACATCGATGGTCAGACACGGCTCCAGCACCGCAGCTCCCTTCGCTACCAACACCAATGAATGAAGTGTCTTCACCAGCAGCCACGGCATCACCAAACCTCGAACATCCACTCTGCTTCCTAGACTGCAAGGAAATGTGCAGTGAACTGCTCTTTTTTATCTGCAGTGAAGAAATAGTTGTGCTTTTCTCTGGATTAATTACTTGTTGCACTACAGGTGCATAAGCAGCTTGTCTAGGAATTAGTTTCACTTGTGTAAAGCTAGGTGCAGAACTCTGCGATTTTTTGAAGTACATACAATTCTTCCTATCCAAAAAATCTTCAGAGGTTTCTGATAATGGGTCTGTGTTGCTTCTTTGGGTAGCAAAATGCAATCTTAACCGTCGTGCCATTTGTTCTCATTTCCACGCATGTTAGCAAATGAAAACCACAAAGATCCTTCAGCAGAAAGGCTACAGGCAGCTGCACAGAACCCAGAGCTGGTACATTGCAACAGTAAAAGCCCATAAAAGTTGCAGTCTTTGTCCTAATTTCTACAAGATACTAGCATTATAAAAGAAAGTACCTCTTGAAATAAGCCAGCCATTCCTTGAACTGTAGTTTCTGGACTGTCGTTGATTGCTCGCAGTCAAAAAGGCTTCATTTAAAAAGCTCTTACGTTCCAAGGATCTCAGCAGCGACACACTGACAAACACTACCGACCTTGTTGCAATTACACCTTCTGGAATTTGCATAAATGAATGCTAGAATAGGCTTCCAGAACTTGCAGGCTGCAAGCAGCAACGCCTGCTGCGGCTGCACGAGCTGAGTCAATGTGTCCGCACTTCCCTCAGCAGCGTATGACTACTAATATTTTTACCCATAGGTTTAGAATTACAGGAAGTTGGTAGGAATGAAGTCCCATATAATTGAGTATCAAGTCCAGGATTGAATTTCCAAATAGTAACCATGCTAGCAAACTGCTGAGGTCTGAATTATGCACAAACTAGTGAAATAATCCTCTTCTCCCTTAAGAAAATGTTTTTCTGCACTATTTAAACAAAACTGGAAAGCAATCTGGCATTATCTTGCAATCCACATGCTGCTAAGCAATCACACTTTCTAAAGATCTGCACATAGTAGAACCCTCTGTGCTTATTAATTCATAATTTTAAATGAGGTGCAACTGAAAAGGAGCCCAAAAAAAGTTTTGCTGGTTAATGATTTGGCATTTGTTTTTACTTCTAGTTTGACCTTTTCTAACTACAGCTGTTAAAAGTAGAAAGAAACAAAATTACTCTTACAAATCTAACTACCTCATCTTATTTGCTGGAAGCCCAGAGTAAGGACACATTCATTACAGTTCAATGTGATTTGCAGATATCTGACCAGCTACACAAACTTTAGAACACTGAACTAAGTATGCACAGAGATAAAAAGCATTACCAAACAGAATTACAGAAGAAAGCTATTCTCTATAAGTACACATAAACTGCCTCATAGATTCATAACTATATTTTTTCATGTTCATTTTTTAAAGAAAATGATCATCATGTCAAGAAATTAATATACTGCAAATTCTTCCAAGAGTAAAGGGATTGAGAATTCCTACAAAATGTTTCACTGGCTCATATCATCTGTAGAGGTCCTTTGCTGGCACCTAGTGGGACTTTTGATAAAACACAATCTTGAATCCTGCTGTTAAGTGGGATTTTTGTTGTGGGTTTTGTTTTGAAAAACACCAACATTTGGCCATGAATGTACTTTTGAATACATAAGCCATATATGATGCAGTACTGAATGCTACTGCTCTAACATGAAGTTACTTAGTGCTGCTCAAAGAGTACAAACAGAAGAGAACACTAGGCCATTTGTACTTTTATAGGTCATACTACTAGGAGTTTTTTCTGCTTCATATTTATTTAACCTTTACTGTATTTTAAGCTAGAAGGCAGTAAAATTAACATTTATACCTCCTTCCCAAAAAAGAGCCAAGAATCAAATTCACAGTACCTTGTTTGCAAGAAACAAATTTGTTTTCTAATTATACTCCAGGGCTTACTTAACCTCCATTACCTGAATTCCATTATTAGAATGCAGCAATAAATGAATACTAGCTTATTCATAAAAAGCCAACAAATACAACACTTCATTTATTTCATTATAACCAACAGAACTCCTTCTAAAGTTATATGTTGGTGGGGACTGGGATGGGGAGAGAAGAGGAAAGGAAAATACCATGAAAGGTTCTTTTGGTCAGTTTCAAAAAAGTCACATTTGTACTTCAAGCAATACAGTAAAAAATACCCATAAAATCAAACAAACCAAACACAAACCAAAAACATCAGCAAGTGACCCTAAGATATGTGAGCAGAAAGTAAAAAATGCATTTCTTAAGGCTTCTTCTCTCCCCAAGAACAAATATATTAGTGGCACAGTTTGTAACACGTTGGTGTGATGTGAAGTGCAACCATTGGAGGTGCTGGTTTCTTTCAGTAAAAGCATTACCTTCTCCCACAGTGGATGATCTGAAATGTTAAGTTTCACTAAAGAAACCCTAAAAAAACCAATAAACTGAAATAATTTGGTAGCTGAAAGCTTAAGATTCCAGCAAAATTTATCTCTTCCTTAGCTATACCTGTTTAGGTACTGCCAGCCAACTGCAGCTTTCTCAGGCAATGTAAAATGGCTTTTTAAGTGTTAAATTCAACGTTGCTGAATTAGAGTTGGCATAAAAATAAACTAAAAGTTAGTATTTTTAATATATACCAATAGTTCCATTCAGAGCTTAATTGATTTCTTCAGTATCAATAACAGATTTAAGCATTTAGTTTGCAATATACTTAAATTATGGCAAGGTACTGTAAGACAGATAGCAAGAGGTGTGGTCTCTTCACTGATGCATCTTTTAAGTGATCTCAATGCTCTTCTTGACATTTTTCTAGTTTTTTTTTTTAAAGACAACCTTTATTAAAGACTCTGCAAACCACTCAAGCCCTTTATTGTACCAAGGATTTGCAAGACAGAAGAACAAACTAGATTTAGCACTCTTTTACCAAATCCAAGACAAGTGATTTTTGAAAAGTTTTAGAGCTATTACAAGATTTCAAAACTCTGACTACTGGTGATATAACCAATGCAGCAAGATCTGAAATTGAACCTAAACTCTGAAGAAAGGTTTTGAGGCTAGTATTCAAGAACACAACATTTTTTAAAAACAAGCAGGTATTTCTAGCTTCCATTTATCCCTAAAAGTTAAAGGGAATAAAAGCACTTGGGAGAAAATTTTGTAAAGAGGAAATTAACCATTGGGAGGACAGAAATATGAGAATATTTCAGTTTTACCAGATTGCTCACATTTAGACTTTAAACACTCATCCAATAGGTAGATGAAAGAGCATTGAAAATAACAGAATAAAATACTAAAATAGCAGAAGATGAAACACCTTTTGATCATAGCTACATAGCAAGGCACCTCTTTGTGACATGTGAGGATGAATTAACAGAAGTGGGGGAGCTTGTCAACACTAAATAACAATCATAGCTAAGGCAACAATTTGTCTTAAAAGAACCCAAGACATTTGGGATAAAAACAGTTTCTGAGAGCCAGCTGAAGAGGAACAGGGAGATGGGGTGTTCCATCCACCAAATGAGATGGAAACAATGAAAATATAGGGATTTTATTACAGAACTATAGAGTGACTGATGAGGCCATGACACTTTGATCTCCAAATATAATCATGCATGGGAAACAAAGCACCATTTCCCAGTTGATACCAACAAAATGTTTAACTGGTTCCTCTCCATAAGCAAACAGATCAAACAACTCATATATTTAGATATAGAAAGAATGCGAAGGAGTTCTATTGGAAAACACAAAGAAAACACTGGCCTTCTTCCCCCAAAAAATCAAGAATTCTACTTTCTGATCATGCCTCGTGGCCTCCAGGTGGTGGCAGCAATGCTCTAACGAGACATGCAATGGACAGAGAACTTGGCCGTGCTGAGGAATATGCTCCGGCCCATAATACTATGTGCGGATGAAAATCTGAGCATCCTGTAAAACTACATTTAACCTCCCATGTAGGGACAAGTGCTTGTGATTCCCTTTAACACTGCTTTTAAATAAATCAAAGAGACATCATATTTTGAATACTTGGGACAGGTAATATCATCAGTTAAATAGTAAATGGCCTGGGGACTGTGTAATGCCTGTAACCAAGAAACAAGCCTCCTCCTTCTTAAATCTCATTATTCTAGGCAGTTTGTACTTATATTTACACACATTTTCACTCCTCCCAACCTCAGAGGAGCAGCACCTTCATATGGTTTACTGAACACGTGCATTTTAGGAAAGAATGTTTTTCATGGCCAACACACTACTCAAGCACAAAGCACAAAGAGATGCTTTCTTTGGAATGAAACTGTGTTTGGCCTGCAAGAGCACTCAGCCCCTTCCATTAGTTCCAAACTCCTGCAGAAGGGAAAGGTACCTATCTTAGTGACAAGGAACGTTGGTGAAACAGATGCAAGTGTCATGACTGTACTGCTACAAGCTTACTCACAATGAAACACACAAATACAGGTAATCAGACATCTGGACACAAAATGAGAGCTTGGGTCAGAGGAGGAATTTTGATTTCACTGAGATAAAAGCACAAGCTAGCTCTATCTCATCAGTGACCTGCCATTCAGAGTGACACAAGATCACAATCCATTGTTCACTTCTTGAGCTTTCCAAAGAAAATCCATGTATGCTTTATTTGATGCTACTCCTCACACACTGAAGAAGCTTCTCACACCACATCTCAATACTGCTTTGTTGGTAGGGAAAAATAAACATCCAATGCAGAGCTTTCAATATCACCAAAGAATTTGGTCCTGTCATGTGAACAGCACTAAGAAAGAATGATGCTTTCATGAGTTAAGCACATTAGAAGTTTACAGTAACAATGTAACTGCTTCAGAGCTTCAGGAGTGTGGTAATGTCAGATAAATAATCAGGTCTGCCTTGAGTTTTAGGTTTCATTATAGAAATTAAGGTTGTTTGGAGTGGGTTTTTTATCCACACTGAATTGTGGTGGACTTGCTTTCATTCAAGTCTTTAATACACTGCAAAATTAACACAAAAAGACCTACCAAACGGTTTTCATCAAATACTTCAAAAAGCAGTCTGTGTTTCTGAGGATTAACCTATGAAAAAGAAGTATAATGATAATTAACATATGTACTGAATTCCAGCACTTGTCTTCACAAAATCTCTGTGTTTATGCAGGAGGAAAGAAATACCAAAGGTCTTCGTTAAACAGCAAATTTATACCCTGCTGCCATTCTACTATGCAAAGCATTTGTAACAGAACCAATAAGCCATAACTGGTACTATCCCAAACTATTTCTAAATAAACATTCACAG